CCAGCCCCGATGTCTGATTTTTAGTGCCTAAATTTTTCCTTAGTATTTTCTGCAGAGATACTTCTTTCGTTCCTCATTCTAACAATTTGTCGTTTTCCCATAGGTTTTAAATTTTCTTGATCTTGTCAAAGAACCTTAATTTGTGTTTTTTCTTGCTTTTGATTTCAATGGTTTCTGTTTTTTGTTAGTTTTCCCTGCAGTTTTCATTCACAGCTTTTCTTCTGTTACTTAAGGTGGAGTCTTAGATGTTAAGTCTTATTTTGTATGATGAAAGAGTTTGATGTTTTAAGTTTTTCTCTTAAGTAGTGCTTTTAACCACACCACAAATTTTGATACATTTTTATACTTGTTCAGCTCAAAGTATTTTCTAATTTTTCTTGACAGTTGTGCTTTGACCTTTGAATTATTAAATGTTTTTTAATTTTAGAGTGTTTAGATATTGTCCTGTTATCATTTTCTAGTTTAATTCTCTTGAACTGGAAAAACTATGACTTTTTTTCCTTTTTTTTTTTTGGCGGTACTGGGGATTGAACTTGGGACCTTTTGCATGCATACCAGTCAGGCGCTTATGCAGCAGAGCTGTCTCCCCAGCCCAGTTTAATTCTTTTAAATTTAGGATTTGTTTTCTGCCTTCGGATACAGTAAACATTCTGCATTTACTTAAAAAGCATGTTTATTTTGCTATTGTTAGGTGAAGTTTTCTTAAATATCCCTTAAATCATTTCATTGATGGTGTTTTCAGTTTTTCTGAATCTTTGCTGATTATTTTTTCTCTCTTTTGAGGAAGGTAGTAGTTATGCCTAATGTTTCATGTATACTTAAAGCTATTATTGTACCACTTCTAAGTGGATTCAGAGCCATATTCATTAATGTATACTCGTAATTTTGAGAGTGAAAAAGTTTCTAAAACTTGTTTCACTTTTTAGGTGTGACAGAATGAGAGGGGATTAGTGAAATGGGAGAGGAAGCTGTGACCCCCGAAGTATGCAGGCTAGACAGCATGAGAAGTGCACATGCGTGCAGGCAGTTAGAGGGCTGATGAGGTGCACTTGAAGGTGTACTCTTCAGGTGGAATGGTAAAGCTCTCCTGGGGAATAGACCAGGAGCTGAATTTGCGGTTCATTTAGGTTCTTCTGTTTCTGCTATAGAGCTTTGCTTGGTCCTCGTGCTCCGAGTGGTCCATCGGTCTCCGCGTCCCTTTCGTGGTAGACATCTGCTCGATGACTTTTGAGCAGCTGGATCTCCTTCTGCGGCAAGTGAGTGAGGGAATGGACGGCACTGCAGATTGGCCCCCACCCCAGGAGAAGGAGTGCGTGGCCGTGGCGACATTGAAGCTTCTACGACTTCAGGTGCCCATGCTGCCCCTTCTTCTGCTCCTTGTATAAGTACCCTAGGAGTTTATGACTCTTCGAAGAGTATAGGTTGTTAGGTGAACAGCTAATGAAACATTTAAAGTATTTTAAAGTAAGATCACGATGAAGTAATGTGTATGAGGCTTAAAGAATTTGGTCCATTTGATTTCTGTTTATTCCAGAAGCCAGCTTTGCATGCAAGTAAGTGTATATGGGTTGTGTTATTCCTACTATAGTCAGCTTCTGTACATTCATTGAAGGAGTCAGCCTTGTATTTACTGTTGTATATGGTGAAATAACTACATGAGACAGCAGGAGTCTGAGAGAAAGAGACAGACCTGGCCAAGAGACAGTGCTAGCCTCTCTTTTGAACTGTGAAAGCTCTGCTCAAGAAGCATGATTCCCTATAGTTACCCAAACCAACAGAACTACTCCTGATTTTACTTCTTCCCTTATATTACACCTAACTCACCCTTTCCTCTTCAGTTTTCTACTTGTCAGGAATTCAAACTCTGTTCCCCTTCTCACCACATCTCTCTCCCCCATCTCTAGACCACCTTTCCTTGTTTCATTAGTATCACTGTTGTTGTTATTTAGTTCATGTTCATGACATATAACAATTGTAATCATTGAAGGTAGTTAATGCATGTACGTGGTGCATCTTACATCTTCTTATGTTCCCATCCTTTCCTTGTATTCCCCTAGCCTCGGTTTCTTGGTCCTGTTTCCCAGTCGCAAAAGATTGTCTCCCAGTTTCCTTTTATCAGTCTTTTAACTTGCTTTTTTTTCTTCTTTGGAGTACTCAACTAAGAAACCATGTGATATTTTAATGTCTGATTTATTTCACTGGAATATGTTTTGAAGGAGTATCCCTTTTCCTACAAATACCTTGAATTTATCCATTTATATAGACAAGTAGTGTTCTGTTACGTATAGATTACCCACATTTCCTTTATACATTTGTCTGTGAATGGTCATGCAGGCTGGTTCCAAGATGTAGCTATTATGAATTGTCATGCACAAAATTTTAAAAACTATATAAATTGCATGTAGGTTATGTGTATAAAGTGTGTGTGCACCACAAGTTGTGTTTGTGTTTAGACTTGTAACCCGTTCTGATCCCCGAGGTAAACTAATGTCTGTGCACCTAGTCTCAAATTGAAAACGTCCAAAACCTGAAACCTTTCTGGTCCTAAGCATTTCAGTAAGTGATATACAACCTGTAGTGAGAAGCTAATTCTGTTTATTTAAATCTTCAAATCAAGTTATACTGAGTCTTTAATAAAAATTTTAGTTTTTTTCTCCCCCCCCCCTTAAGATTTTAAAAACTATTTGTTCTTAGCCATTCTAAGTGAAAATTGTTTTTCTCCTTTCAGTTGCATGCTGCCATTAGTCACCAGGTTGACCCGGAATTCCTTGGTTTAGGTCTGGGCAGTGTCCTCCTGAACAGCCTGAAGCAGACTGTGGTGACGCTGGCCAGCAGTGCGGGCGTGCTGAACACTGTGCAGTCTGCTGCCCAGGCTGTGCTGCAGAGCGGCTGGTCTGTGCTGCTTCCCACGGCCGAGGAGCGGGCCCGCGCGCTTTCTGCGCTCCTGCCCTGCACAGGTGCGCCTGGGCTGGGGGTGCGTGAGGAGTGACCGGGCTGTGGCAGAGCTGGCTCCTCACTGAAATTGGGAAACGAATTTTCCTTTTCTAGTTTCAGGGAATGAAGTAAACATAAGTCCAGGTCGTCGATTCATGATTGATCTGCTGGTAGGCAGCCTGATGGCTGATGGAGGATTGGAGTCAGCCCTGAATGCAGCCATTTCTGCAGAGATCCAGGTACAGGCGTGAGGGCGTGGGAACTGGTAGGGCATTGTACCAGCATCTAGCTGAGCTTGAAAAGTACCCCCCACTCATGTGTAAATCAGGCCTGTTGTTAGAAATTGCCAGAAGTAACATGCAGAAACTTCATTCACATCCAAATATTTTTTTTACTTGTAACTTTTCCTACCTTATGGAATAAAAATCTTGTTGGCTCCGGGCCTGCCATGCTGGCCCTGCCCTCGATTGAGCCTTGGTGTGGTGGTGCATGCCTGCAATCCCTGCACTTGGGAGGCTGTAAACAGGAGAATCACTATGAGTCCGATCTAGTAGTGAGACCCTGAACACCCTGTAGACCCTTCCCTAAAATACAGAAAAATACATAAGTAAATAAAAATCCTTTAAAAATCTTGTTGGGATATCATGGAAATGTGATAAAATGCTGTGCTGTACATATCCCAGTGAACATGGCACTTGCGCCCTTCATCACGTCCATCATTTCTGTCACTCATTGAGGTTCCTTCCGCCCTTCTGCACCTAGTTGGGACACTGTTACTTCTCGGATTAGCTGAATGGTATCAGCTGGGAGTGTCACATAGGGGAATCCTACGGAGCCCTTTTCTTTTTATCTCCCTTTGCCTCAGATGATGCCTTTCAGACTGTTAACCTCAGTGCATGTGCCGTTTCCTTCTTATGGAGAAGTATTGCATTAGGTGGGCATAGCACTGTTTATTCTTTCTTCTGCTGGAGCATTGCTCTGCTGTTTGCAAAGCTGCTGTGATCATTCTGTGTACATGTTCTTCAAAGGACATGCTTTTTCTTTGCCCATAATTTAGAGTGGAATTTGGTGAGTCCCATTTGTTTATAGTTTCGTAGAGTGGCTTTGTTACTTTATTTGACTCGCTGTATGTGTGAGTCCTGTATTTCTTGTCCTTACAAAAGGACAGTCCCTGGCAGGTGATAGGAGATTGGCAGCAGTGGGAGTCTGGCCATTGGATCCATAGGAAGAATTGTCTGTTTAGAACCTGATCAGCAGAGTGCTGGGATTTTATGTGCATGTGTGCGTGCACGTGTACACATGCGCGTGTAGGTGTGAGCCAGTAGTATCATTTTGTCAGGTCACACAGGCTGGTAAAACTGGGACCGGGTTAGGGGTCAGCTCAGTGTGGCTTTGCACCTGCTAGTGAGATCACTGGTTGCTAACTTTCTGTTTTATGAATTATAGGATATTGAGGCTAAAAATGAAGCACAGAAGGAAAAAGAAATTGATGAACAGGAAGCAAATGCCTCAACATTTCATAGAAGTAGGACTCCTCTGGATAAAGACCTTATTAATACAGGGATCTATGAATCTTCTGGGAAACAGTGTTTGCCTCTGGTCCACCTCATACAGCAGCTTCTTAGGTAATTATATTTTAATTGGTAATTACTTGCTTTCTTGTTGATATGGTGATGTGTAATGTTATAGAGTCTTAAAAATAGTGTGGATAGGGCCGGGGAGATAGCTCAGCAGTCTAAGCGCCTGCCTGGCAAGAACAAGGACTGGGGTTGGATCCCCGGTACTGCATGTCCTGCTGGCCCTGGAACCCTGGGCTCACCATGCTGGCCACCGAAACTGGGCTTGGTGGCGCAGGCCTGTAACCCCAGGGCTGGGAGCATGAGACAGGATCACCGTGAGTCTGAGCTGTGTAGTGAGACTCCGTACCAAGTGAATGAATGAACGAACGAATGACTAAAAAATTTTAAAAATAGTGCGGCTATAGAAAAGTTTCTCTGAAAATTACATCGGGTAGGTGTTAGGGTAAAGAGCAGATTCTTACATATAAATGAAGAGTGGTTGGAATATATGTGGAGATTCTAAAATTTTCCATGGAAGAAAATTGACGTGTGAATTGTGTAAGAAGATTCCTATCCTCATTTTTTTGTGAATATATTTGTAAGACAACTTTTAATTCAAAACGAAGGCCAGATCAGGAGGAGTTAAGAATGGCTCTGCTTTGTACGGTTAGCAGAAGTGAGCCTTGGATGTCACATCAGGAATCAGAAAGATGGAGCCAACAGGATGCCCTTGACCTTTGTGTTATGCAACAATCCGCAGGGCAGTTTTTGGTGACATTAGCAGAGATACATGTTGACCAGCCTAGCCACACACATTCTTGCCTTTGGGGCTTGTGGGATGTCTGGTTTATTGGTTGCCCTGGAACCAGGCCTACTTTGGCCTTTGTCTCCCCTCTTTTGATGTCCGCCTCCAGTAAACGACTTCATCTTTTCTGTTCTCAGTAGCAGACATCAGGCGTGGCTCACCTGTGGCAGACTGTTACCCTGTGGTGGAGCCCTACCTGGTGCATTGCCGTCTGTGTATGGAGTCAGCAGTACTCACTGCTCTTGTAACTCTACTTCCTGGAAGTTCATGGTGTTGTCCTTTCTTCCCATCTGCTGATGGCTCATGGCTCGGGTCCCCTACAGTATTGGGATTGGAGTTGCTGCTCCTTTCCTTCTTTCCCTGCTCCTTTGGGCACCTTACAAGAAAATTAATTCTCTTGTTCTGATTTAGCGATGTTGGTACTTTGTTTGGTCTTTTTGTGTTCCCTGAATCCTAGGTACCCCTGCACAGCCCACGCTGATGTCATTTTAGAGTAGGAGCTAAAGTTAGATCTATAAGGCAGACATAGCAATGCAGGTGAGTCCTTTCCTAAGGCTAGATAACATTTATATTTGAAAGGCAGGTTTGGAGGGGAAAAAAAGGCAGTGGAGCAGTTTTATATAGAAATGTTCGTTTTTTAGTAAGATATACTCTTAATTTGGGTCTTTTCTAAGGGCAGGTTTGTAAAGCAAAAGGGCATCATTATATTTTTTGAATCTTATGTGCATCTCTGCTTAGGTATATTAATTGTGATGCTAGGGATCAAACCTGGGGAACTATACCCTCAGCCTTCTTAAATATTTTGGTATGTCCCTGAAGGTCTTGCCCTGTTGTTGAGTTGCTTGAGCCTGGCTGGAACTCTTGACCCTTCTTCCTGAGCCTCCCAGGTCTAGGGTTACAGGTGTGAGCTACTATGCGCAGCTCTGCTCAGTTTTGGCTGAGGTTATGCTTACTGTACAGATTGATACCCCTGCCGTATTTGGAGAGGGCACTCAGTTGCAGGTTGCCTCTGCATGTGACCTGTGCGTCCGACACTGCGTGGTGATTTGCTTCCCTCTCCTCTTGTCCTTTTGTGTTTTTGTGGTGACAGGGTCTCACTGTGTAGCTCAGGCTGACTGCGAACTCACAGCGTAGCCTAGGCTGGTCTTGTACTCATGGCAATCATCCTGCTTTAGCCTCTTGAGTACTGGGATTGCAGGCATATTCTCCCCCCCCCCCAGCTCGCCATCTTTTTGACAGAAATAATTTGTTTGATTTGTAATTTTTTGTTCCTCTACCTAGAAACATTGCTTCTCAGACCATAGCCAGGCTGAAAGACGTTGCTCGTCGGATTTCATCATGTCTGGACTTTGAGCACCACAGCCGTGAGAGGTCTGCTTCATTGGACTTGTTACTGCGTTTTCAGCGTTTACTTATCAGCAAACTTTATCCCGGAGAGAGCACTTGCCAGAACTCAGATATTTCTAGTAAGTTGTCTACATATGGATGTCTCTCATATATGTTTGGGCTTTGTTTTATTAAGTTTTTTTTTTGGGGGGTTTTCCTATTATGTGTGTTCATGTATATAGTCCTTATATTAAATACAGCAGTTTTGGAGACTTCATTTTGTACATACTTTATTGGTCAAATACTTTCAGTATACCTACCTATATTTTTAATTTTATTGGCTTCATATTTAAATTCTTTAGACTTTGGAAATAGGCCTCTTTGTGTTTAGTTTACATCCCCATGTTAGCGATGGAACACGAATGACTGACGTGACTGGGACCCAAATAGTGATGGACTGCTCATGAGTCAGATGGGGAAGCAGGTGGGTCTGGCAGGAGGAAGGCCAGGTTCCCGCTACAGCTCGGACCTGTTGCTGTAGGTATTGGGTTAAGTCTCCACAAGGCTGCAGGCTTCTTGCCTGCATAGGTAGGCAAGTCCTGAGTGTGCCTGTGTTGAAACGTGCTGCATGTGCGTATTGCATGCGTTGTGGGATGGGTGGCACTTTCTGTCAGCACCTAGGGGAGAGGCTGGCTTTCTGTAGCGTTGCTTTGTCTTCCGGGGGGGGGGGAAACATTTGCTGCTTCTGTTCATAATTTTATAGTTCAATTTAGAAGTAAAAGGAATAACAATTATTTCTTAAAAGAAGGTAGGCACTTTTTGTGATAGAAACCTAGAGGTTCAAATGGACACATTTGTAGTCTGAAAGAGATGGCTGTCTTGAAGATAGAGTTTACAGTAATGCAGAGCTATTAGCCATGTAGGCAGAGAGTTGAAGGTTTTATGAGGCTGAAAAATGTCTAGTTTTGTTCATTGGAAACAGCTTTAAAGCAAGTGTGTGCTGAAAGTAAGGAATCTCTACATTTCATATGAGGTCAGTATTTATAGACTCAAATTTTTAGATACTCTGTGATGCAGGGTATAAAATTCAGCACAGTCAAATTCACTGTCCCTCAGGTTATGTCATGTGCAGAAGTGCCAAAGACTGAGTGCGGTTTGGCCTAGGAGCATTTTTACAGGCACGAGACTCACCCTTCAGAGTAGAGTCCTGGAGCAGTCAGGTTGGTCTACAGAGTGTGTCTTCAGCAGTGACGGCAGCATCTTCCGCGTCTTCCTTCAGGTCCTGAGCTGACGGGTGTTGGCTCCTTGCTGAAGAAGTACACGGCCCTTCTGTGCACACACATTGGAGACATCCTGCCTGTGGCGGCCAGCGTTGCTGCAGTCAGCTGGCGGCACTTTGCAGAGGTGGCCTGTATTGTGGAAGGGGACTTCACTGGTACGTCCTTGTTTCCTACCTTGAACCACCTATTTACTTTAGAAGATTGAGAAAAGCTAACATACATCCTTTCCTGATTAAAATGTGTACTACTTCCTCATTTCCTCTATACATTTTCTGATCCTCTTGTAATTTTTTTATTTTTTTAAAATTTTGTCTTGAGGGCTGGTGAGATGGCTCGGTGGTCTAAAGCACCTAATTAGAACAAGCTTATCAAAGCACAGGGACCGCGGGTTCAATCCCCCAGCACCACATGCCAGCCAACCCCGCCCCCTGGTGGGCTGAGCTGGCCACACACACACACACACACACACACACACACAAAAATAAATAAAATTAAAAAAAAAAAAATTTTTGTCTTGAGGCAGTGTCTTACTGTGTACTTTAGGCTGGCCTTCACCTCACTGTGCAGCCCAGGCTGGCCATGTTCTGGCATTAGAGGCCTGTACCACTACACTCAAACATTGTTTCATTTTATTCCAACAGTGTGTACATTAGTTGTCCTTTCAAAACCTTAATGCAGGGCTGGTGAGATGGCTCAGTGGTCTAAAGCACCTACTTAGAACAAGCTAAGCTAAGCAAAGCACACGGACCGCGGTTCAATCCCCCAGCACCACATGCCAGCCAGCCCCGCCCCCTGGTGGGCTGAGCTGGCCACACACACACACACACACACACACACACAATAAATAAATGTTTTTTTTAAAAAAATCTTAATGCATTCCAACATTACTTAGTCACTTTTAAAAGTTACTTTTGTGAAATTAGGGGTTTTTTTGGTCTTTTTGAGACAGGGTTTCACTGTGCAGTTCAGGCTGGCCTTGTGCTCACTTCATAGCCGAGGCTGGCTTTGACCTTGTAGCAGTCCTTCTGCCTTAGCCTCCTGAGTGCTGGGATAACAGATGTGCATTACTGTGCCTAGTGAAAGTATTGTTATTATGAATGCTTTCTTTTGATGATAAACATATTGGTAAATATTTACTTTTCCAAATAAACTTTACTTCATAGTTGTTTTTGAGACACAGTGTTTTTAAAAAATATGTTTGTAACTCTGAGAAGTTCTTTTTTATAACTATACATCTCTAGGAAAAAAAAATACCCTGTATGTCTGGGGAGATAACTCGGCATTCTAAGCATAGCGAGACCCTGTGCCAAATAAATAAGTAAAAGATTGAAAATAATACTGTGTAGAGATATGCTAATAGACAAACATTCCTATTTTATGATTGAGAATTTAAATAAAAAACAAGGTCACAAAATGCTTTTCCAGGATAAACACTTTTAATTAAATCTTAATTCTTTTTCTTAAATGTAGGTGTTCTCCTTCCAGAGCTGGTGGTCTCAATAGTACTTCTGCTCAGTAAAAACCCTGCCCTCATGCAAGAGGCTGGAGCTGTCCCCCTGCTGGGTGGCCTGCTGGAGCACCTAGATCGCTTCAATCACTTGGCTCCTGGAAAGGAGCGGGATGACCATGAAGAGTTGGCTTGGCCTGGCATAATGGGTATGGCATTTTACCTTTAAGGACTTCACTGAGGAAAGTCTTGTTTTGGTCTAACCCATTTTTGTCTGTGTTTGAAAGAACATTTTGTAAGAGAAGGCGGATTATTGTCCTGTTTCTACTCATGACAGTGTAAGAAGTAAATGAAGATTAACCAAATCATAACAGATTTCCTTACTTTTAAGGAAGATTTATATTAGAAATTATTGTTAAATCTGGAATTTGACTCTTTGGAGTGTTCTGAAAACCTTTCCTAGCAGGTGTCTTCCACTTTTTTTTTTTTTTTTTTGGTACTGGGGATCTAACTTGGGACCTTATGCTTGCCAGGTAGTGCTTATGCCTGCTGAGCTCTCCCTGTCCCCTAGCAGGTGTCTTTTGAAGGCCCTTTTGAAGTGTGTAGAGCCCAGGAGGCAGGCGTTGATGTGGGAGAGGAAATTGCTGTGGTGTCAGCTGAGTGCTTCCTTGTAGACACTGTCTACAGCGTGTACCAAGTGAATTGACACGTTGGCTTCTGAAAATTTTGAGATCTGGCAGTTTTGAATCTTAAGTCACTAAGGTCTGTATGTTTCTGAGTTCTTAGACTCAAAATTGAAGTTGTGTGTTAGCATTTATTTTATATTAAAAATCCAACTACAGCTTCAAATAAGTGATTGTAGTTGTCCTGAGGAAATAGCCTTAGAATAGCCAAACACTTGTTGTTTTCATTTTTGTTTTATTGACACAGGGTCTCACTGTGTAGTGCAGACTGGCCTTGCACGTGCTGATAATCAGCTGTCCCTGGAAATTACTTTTCTGGGTCCTTAATCTTGGAAGAGGACGGGATTAAGTCAGTTCAGAGTTAGCACCCTTGTTTTGCCAACTTTTAGACAGATATTCAAAAAATGATTTACACACACACTCACAGCTGAAATGGAGTGCTCTAAAAGTTTCATGGTAACAAAGCATATAAAAGAAGGATCAAGCTTTGTTCTACTTTTAATTACCTATTGGGCACCAGCTAGACACAAAGGCCAAGTAATTTTTTAAAAAAAATTAAAAATAGCTTTTAAGTCCCTAATTGTCTGGGATGAAAACACAAATCCCATTCTTTAAATGACTAGCATGTTAAGGTTTCGAGACTTTGTCTTTTGCTTCTGTGGCAGCCTCTGATTGTGTCAGTGCCACCATGTGGCGCCTCTGTTTGTGTCAGTGCCACCACGTGACGCCCTCTGATTGTGTCAGTCCCACCACGTGGTGCCCTCTGATTGTGTCAGTCCCACCATGTGGCGCCTCTGATTGTGTCAGTCCCACCATGTAGTGCCTCTGATTGTGTCAGTCCCACCACATGGCGCCCTCTGATTGTGTCAGTCCCACCACGTGGCGCCTCTGATTGTGTCAGTCCCACCACGTGGCGCCCTCTGATTGTGTCAGTCCCACCATGTGGCGCCTCTGATTGTGTCAGTCCCACCATGTGGTGCCTCTGATTGTGTCAGTCCCACCATATAGTGCC